GTGTTTAATCTGGTTCGTTCTTTGGTTTTTCAAAATAAAATAATAAAAAAATATATAATCAGGTGGTTTTAAAAGCTAAATTAGAAAAATGACAAATGCAAAGATAAAACAGGCTACTTTTAACATTTTAATGGTTAAAGCAATGACAAGCTTTATATTTTGTCACTGCCCTGGTGTAACCAGAAATCACGGCCTGACTTCCTGGAGCATCACGTTTTCACTTCTCACCGTGGATCTTATTTAGAAAGAGTCGACTAATCTCATTGAAAGCTGATGATTTTACCGTGAAAAATAAAAATTAATATTCTAAGTTATGCAGAATCAAATGCAGCCATCGCCGATATGTTTAGGAACGGTTTTTAAGTCACAGACATTGCAAACACTTTCCAGGACCGCTACACATTAAAACAACAGTGTTTTATTTTGGATTTGGATAGCAAATCAAATTGTGCATTTTTAATTAGTTCAATTTAATGTTTTTACATTTACGTTATAAAAACAGAAAAACCCAGGTTGTTTTCTTTTTGTGATTCTGTTTTGAAACGAAAAAAGAAAAAACTAAAGAACGAAGACTTTTCTTTAAATTAATCATTACCTGGATGACTAAGAATCTACACCAGCATACACGATGAGTTGCTTTTTTTCCTTTCTTAAATGATCACGTAGAGTCAGGATTTCTAAGATCTCCTCATTAAAACAGGAAATGCGTATATGTCCCCCTGTACGATCGCCATTCTCACTCACCTTGTTGCGTTTGAAATAGGCCCGTCTGCAGGCAGCGAAGCACTTCTCGCTGCAGAAGCTCTTGAGCTCCGAGCCCATGCAGAGAGAGTACCGTTTCACGCCTTCCTTCTGGCACCAAACACAAACTATCTGCACATTCTGCACGTCTTCCACTGCAGAGACGAAAACAAAAAGAAGCAGCTCAGTGAGTGAATGCTTGCAGATGCTGAGGTGGTCAGTGTCGGAGCGGCCTTCATCTATTGGAAGGAGACTGGCATTGAGTTTAAAACAATATAACCTCATCAGGGCTCAATAAACAGCAGTCAGGGAGATAACATGTCTATGCTTAGAGTTGGACCTGCTCCAAACTTTCTGTATCATCAATTAATTGAAGTAGTCTCAGGCTTTCAGGGGAATCCAGAGATCCTGCTTCATCTGTGCAACACCTTATTATCCGCTTTATGCACTTATGTTGCATTAGGGAAGTATATATGGAGCTGCGTTTTGTCATCTAACACAGTGAAATCAAATATTGACTGAATCGGACTTGGCGGGCTGAGAACTAGCAGCACTGAGACGCAACATTTTTAAATTGAACGCCAAATTAAAAGGCAGCATTTTCCATTTTTATGCTTTATTCCTTCAAATGTGAAATTGTTACATTTAAAAATACGACGTACAGAGGCAAAACGTGAACATTTGTCACCTGCTGTTTAAAAATCTGCAAAAGCTTGAATCGTTGCGGCAACAAAACGTGCAAGTTAAAAAATGTCAATTTGTCCTAACAGTGTGTTCGGTTATAACTTTAAATATCTTCTTTTCTCCAGTCAGTTTGGCAATAGTTCATAAAACACATCCAAAAAGAACCCGACACTAAATGATGGCCATCATGCAGCTGCACAATAAACATATGTGGTGTTATATGTTCTCACTTTCTTCACAGCCTCAATTACTGCTCAAGAAGCCTTTTAGGAAAGAGCTGAAACTAATCCCTGCTCCATCACCTGCAGCTGATCTCACACATTGACCTCGGGGTAAATCAAGTACCGGTCATGGATCACCGGTTCTTGTGCGCATCAGAACGGATGAAATGCTGTAAAGCAGAGGAGGTGTCTGTGCCTGTATGTGAGTGTGGGCTTACTCGTAAGCAGCGTTAGCAAAATATTTCATGAACTGCTGAGCAGATTTGAATGAAACTCTCTGTAAACAATCCTTAAGTCAACCATATTCAAGATGGTCACCACAGCTGAACGATCGAATCCATGTGTCGAACTCAAATGTGGCCCACTAGAGCCTCAAAGACGTATTCGTGTCTTAAAATAAGCTGCTTTAAAGCCAGCATTGACCATTACATTTCACAAAAAGCTTGTTGATTATTTTTATTGCAAAATGACGGCATCCCACCACTAGGTGGAGGAGCACAGGATTAAGAATTTGCCGTGTAAAATTTCCACTTCGCTGCATTTTCACCAGCTACTTCTACTGCAACCCAGTTGTACTGGGAAGTTGGAATTTCCTACTTACGAGTCATGAATTTAAACTGAAAGACCCCTTCCTGTGGGAATTCCCTGTCGGACAGTGGGAGAGTTCAAAGTTCAAGATGGCAGCTACTCACCACTTAAAACAGAGCAAAACCCTCTTGTATTTCTGTTTTATTTATTTCACATTATGACAGCCGTACACTTACCCCTAATTTACACTACATGCGTTCCGTCTCCGCTCCGGTCCAACCTCCGCAGCAAATACAGTACGCACCCATTATAATCAATGAGAGTGTTGGCTGCGCACGGCGACGGTCAGCAGACGGCGGTCCGTCAAAATTAGATCTGATCCTATTTCTGCCGGACGCCGGAGCTGCGCCGGAGTCAATTTTTAAAGATTACGTCGCACCAACAGGAAAAGAAACGAGCACAACATCCGTATTTTCAAAATAAGACACTATTCAGCAGGATAATTTGTCGGAATAATGTCGAAATTGCAGCTATGTTAATAAATATACGGATATAATTCTACACAAATGCTGTCAGAATGTATTGTTTTGTTTGGGAAGCAGATGAAAACGTAGCATGAAGCATATGTGTACACACACGATACACGTGGATTTTATTTTGAAATCAGACGTTTCAAAAAGACGACAGCGAGACAGTTTCAACATAGATACCAAAAGCCTTTATATCGTTGTTTTCAGCTGTGTTTGGAGTTCGTCTTTCACAGAATTAATTATTTTTTGCTGTGACTTCCACACTTATCACTGAATTTATCGCGCGACCTGCTTCCTGCACGTCTGTCGGACCGGAGCGGAGCGGATGTAGTGTAAACTGGACTTGAAACGCACAGCTGCGACCCCCCGCAGCGGAGCGGAGCCATAACGCATGCAATGTAAATTAGGGGTTAGCGCTTCGCAGTGTTTGTAAGAGGACGTGTTAAAACACTGTTTCTATGCAGGAAATACCAGGTAGAGTTCAGTTATTGGTTGTTAGCGGTGAGAGCGGTGAGAGTTAAACACAAAATATTGAAGTTAATTAAAATGTGGCAGTCATAATGCTCATGTGGTCCTCAGTGATGTAATCAAATACAAAATTAGTAATAAACATTTTGTGTGGTAGCAGCTGGGAGTCATACCTGCTGATGGCTTTATGAGGGGGACAATAACGGGGGCACTCTTGTGCTCCTTGGGGGAGGTCAGGGAGGAACTCGTGGAGGACGAAGTGGGCGAAGAGGAGGGGACGCTGGAGGATTCCCTTTCTCCGCTCTTCATGGCCAGGACAGGGTGACCGACTTTGGCGTCCACGCTTTTGGGTTTTGGCAAGGAGTTTTCTGAAAGACACAACCAGAATGTAATAATAACTCGTCTTTGTCATTCAATCCCGCGACACGAAACCGCAGCGCGCCTCACGGGACACCGCATTAACTTCTGCACAAACAACAGATGCATCTGAACGAATGTAACTCGAGGCCCCGTCACCGCGGGAGGTTAGGTTGAGCAGATGTGGCGCGCCGTTGACTCAAAGTCTGCCCCCGAAAACCTGCGGAACCTGTTGGTTAGCGTCATCCTGCGCGAGCAGTGACCTGCCGACACCTGCCCTCACCTTTCAGCACAGACACATGCTGACGCCTCTCTCTGTAGTTTCGGATCTCGTTGGCCTCGGACTCTCGGAGGTCGACCTTGTCGTAGCCGTACCATCCCAGGAGCTCGTTCATGGTGCTTTCCGCAAACGTCTGTTGAACAGCAAAAAAAAAAGGGAGAAAGAAAACGAGAACTTGTGAACATCTTCGGGTTATTATCAGAGGTTTTCATCCTGCGGCAAACATCATCAGAGGTTCCCATTCTGAATCAAAGTGAGGGATTCTTTCTCAGCCCTGAGGTAATGAATAGGGGCACAGTGGAGTACAGTATGACTCCTTTTTCCATGATGTGTTCAAGTTGTTTACTTTTGCTTAATCTGAGACGGAAAGGTTTAAAACCTAACACCAGTGTGAAATCTATGAATCATTCTTTGTTTATCTTTTTTTAATTGAGAGGAAAAAAAGAGGGAGAAAAGAAAACGGCTTTGCACAAAAAAGGAGTGTGATCAAGTTTTTAATATCATGACCAGATTGAAAAAAAAAAAAGACCAAATAATACAAAGGTTTCTCTCTTCATCCACCCACTTCTCTCTGCGGCTTTGGAGGAAGCGGATTGGAGGAGAAACCTGATCCGAAACGGGCAGAAATCAGAGCGGGACACCCAACACCGCAGCGAGGTCCCACGGTTCTCGGACACGGCGCTCTCGTCTCCCCTCGTTTTCTAAAACTCCTTTCCCTTTTTTTCCTCCAGCTTTCACCAGCTCTCATCCTTCACCCCACCACACACACTCCATCCCCTATCCTCCCCTCCATCCCAGCACCTTCCAGGCCTGACACCCGACACAGCGCCGCCTCTCAGGTTTCACTCTTTTCCAGCACAGCCAGTCTGCTGTGGCGTTGTAGTACCGTAGTATACCGACTGCACATTCTTTCCTCTGCTCTCCTCACTCCGACCTCTGCTCTGCACCGGGGCCTCATAGAACTGGATCCCTCCCTTTGCTTGCTCACTTTCTGCTCTGTGTGTGTGTGTGTATGTGTCTGGGAGAGTGCAAGCACCGGTATCATATCCAGCTAAATATGCCTAACGATGATTAAAGTGAAGGATCCGGTGTCTGGTGCTGCGCTCGGGGTCTGACGTGGAGGGAGTGGGTCCGAATGTGGTGTTGAAACAGATGGATTACAGAGACAACACTGGGACGGACCTCGGCTGAACCAGAAATCGGTTCTTCTGGCCCGGATTCCTCGTACTGTTTGCTCTTGCGGTGTTCTTCCAGATGGGAGCTCTCCTGTATAGGCCAGTGTCACTTTCCTGTTTTTAACTTTTTTTTAAAATTTCACCCCCCCCCTTCCCCTCTTCCTTCATTTCCCACAATGTTGTTTTTGTTTCTTTTTGGCAGTTTAGACAAACATCTGCTTTGTGAGAGTGACAAGCCATATCCCAAACCGCGGAGAGTCTCAGCCAAAGGCAACAAACTGGGGCCGACCCTGAGAGTCAGGCTTACATCGAGGGGATAGGGTTTCGCGTGTTTTGATTAAAATTAGTTAAGATGTAACGTTACACCTCCCCTGGATATCCGACACCACAAACACACACACACATACAGCACATTTCCTCCCTAAAAAACAAAGAAGGAAAAAAGTTGTCTCTTAAGATTTCTTTGCTGCAGCTAATATCCTTCATAAGAGTCAAGCGTCTCAAAACGCCAGTGTCCAAAACCCAAACAAAGCAGACAATCCGTGGATTAGTTTCCACGCAATGGGCTCCTAATGGTGGGAGGGAGTCGTGTCTGTTACTGTGATTTCACTTATTGCAGCTCTGTGCTGCCCTTTAACACAACCAACACTCAGTGAGCGCCTTTTTTTTTTGTCCATCAGCAAGAAGCCTTCATGTCATGTTTGCATTCTTTCCAATCACTGGAGTTTTCCCAGCGTAAATCCGAAGTTACAGGCTATTTAAAGATTATAAATGCACCCCTCCTCTCCCTTCCTCACCCCCTTCACTCTCCCCTCATTTTTTTCTTCTTCTTCTCATGAGTCTCTAAAGTGCACCGCAGGGAGCGAGGAAGAAGTGACGCACATCTGGAGCTCCTCTGGACTTGTGCGTGTCCAGGCCACAGCTGGCCTCGCTAAAAGGCAAATGTCAACTTTTTTTTTATTCGAAATGTTCACATCTATAACCAAAAAACATTTTTTCAATTTTAGATTCTTGACCAAAACATGTTTTTAATTGTGTTATCTCTATTTTCAATAATAAAAAAGAATAAACACGACTTTAGTTGCACAATTCATGACGTAAGTAGTTTGATCAAATAATGTCATTTTATGTGTCTTGGTCGTGCAGCTGTGATTTGCGCACAGCTGTGCGTAAAAGCGCTTTGGAACATCGTTGCGCACAAACACGCTCCTCACCTTCATCTCCTGGTTGATCTCCCTCTTCACGGGGTGCGCTGGTTTCCTGCTGCGTTTGTTTTCCGGGGGTCTGCCTTTCTCCATCTCTGGCATGATAGTCCTGGTCCGGCTGGATCCGACCCCGGATCTGTGACTTGAGCTGTCAGCAGCAGCAGTTTGTTTGTTTCTTCTGTAGTTTTCTTTACGGGAGTGGCTCGGAGTGAGAAGCGTCCCTCCAGGTGACAGCGGCTGTCATTCCCGGACGTCGGACTCCCTCATGTCGGGCTTCGGACTCCACCGAACATGCGTGTTCTCCGCGCGCTGGAGGCTCCGCCGTTTAGCAGTTCAACAGTCTCCACTCTCCTCTCTCCACCGCTGTCAAGCTCCAAATCATGCCCAAGACCCGGCTTCCGGTTTGAACTTTCAAAATAAAGACCCGTGACGCACAGCAGAGAGCAAGCAGGATGCAAAGTTTGAAACCAAACACTAGCTAGAGAATTTGCATTTCCTGTGAAAACGCATTGTGAATGCTAATGCTGAAAAAAAAATTCAAACATTTTAAAACAGCTGAAACTATAGCCTTTTGCAAAGAAAAGTAGCTGAAATTATGACAGAGGAACAGAAACAGCACAAGTTTGCTGATTAAGCTGTAAGAAGCTGAAAATGTCACAAAAGGTGAAGCTTAAATGAGCTAAAAAAGTAGCTAAAACACTGAAAACGGCTAAAATTATCAGAAAGTAGATGAAAGAAGTGGAAATGTAGCTAATGTGAATGATTTTTTTGTGGAATAGTTTAAATTGCTGAAAATAGCCTAAAAGTTGCAAAAAAGTAAGTGAAATTATCACAAAGAAACAGAAACAGCACAAGTTTGCTGAATTAAGCTGTAAGAAGCTGAAATTATCACAAAAAGGTGAAGCTTAAATGAGCTAAAAAGTAGCTAAAAACACAGAAAACGGCTGAAATTAGCAGAAAGTAGATGAAAGAAGTGGAAACGTAGCTAATGTGGAAATGCTGAAAGATTGCTGAATATGTAAAAAAAAAAGCTGAAACTAGCCTAAAACATGCTTAAAAAGAAGCTGAAATTATCACAAAAAGTTTAAGCTTAAATTAGCTAAAACGTAGATGAAAAGAAGCAGAAATGTAATGTGAAAATGCTGAAAGATTTTTTGTTGAATAATTTAAATAGCTGAAACTAGCCTAAACATCGCAAAAAAAGTAAATCAAATTATCCCAAAGAAACAAAAACAGCACAAGTTTGCTGAATCAAGAAGTAAGAAGCTAAAATGATCACACAACGGTGAAGCTCAAATTAGCTAAACACACAGAAAACACCTGAAATAAGCAGAAAAAAATATTTTCTGAACAACAATATGTGTAGGTCCAAAAAAAGTGGCAACAGTTTGGCTTGGTGTTGTATGGATGGTTGTTCTTTCTGGGTTTTTTTTTTTTTTTTTCAGTTTTTTTAACTACTTGTATGTCAGGATGGTCTGAACTGTTAATATTTACTAAAAAAAATTGTGCAAACCTTTGCAAGTCACACATGTTGGAAGTGCATTCACCTCGCTGCCTGCAGTAACCTTTAGGCGCCCGTCACAAGCTTCATGCTCTTATTCTGAAAAGCAAATCCCTCCACTGCAGTCCTGATTTGTGCTCTCACTGCTAAGGGAGGGCCCTCTGATTTGATGTAACCCAACACCTGGCGCCCACCCCTCCCAAATCTCAACAGATACATTTCATAAGGAATGCAAAGACTGTGTTTTATCTGAGGGGACACAGTACAAACACTGTCTGTGCGCTCCTGTCTTAAAATAAAGAGATGAAAAGAGCGCAGCGAGTTAAACGACACCATGGCACAAGCTCTGGAGCTTTCTCAAATGGCATCTGTTTGATCAGTGACCGTGTGTGAAGCCTGTGCATTGCACTAAAAACACCTGAAAGCTCTTGAGCTAACTTTGAGGACACGTCTAATTAAAGTGTTTCTAACGAGCTCTGAATGCAGACATTTGTTGCATGGTCATTGTTGCCAGGGGTTTTCTTGTTTCAGTGTCATGCTCTTCCTCTGGTGATACAGTTGCATTCGTAGCTTATTTTAGGCAACGTTTAAATCTTTGAGTTATAATTAGTTTCAAGTTGAAGCCCCTGCTGTTAAATTCCTAGAAGAGTCTTAAAAATGTCCCTGCTTGCAGGTAGACAGATGGCCTTTTCTCTTCCCTGTTTTTGCAGCCTGTCTGCTCTGGTTGGAGAAACCCAGAGACCACGCTCGTGTAAACAGAAACCTGATCCACTGCGCAGGGCTCTGGTTTCGCCCCCGCGTAGACCCGCTGGTGATACCTGATCCGGCCCGGCTTTGGGAACAGGGCTTATCTGATGCCTCACAAAAGGCCCCTCACTCCTGCTCTCCATAACAGCGCACATCTGGTGCCTCTGCAGGGAGCGCTGTCCCCTCCAGCTTCCTCCCGGGCTGGAACACTGGAATAAAGGCGTCTCACTGTTCCTCCAGCAGCCTGTTAGGTGGACAAATGACGGGAGTTGAGACAGTCGTCAGGGCTTAAGTTACAATCCTCAACATCTGGACTGGATTTTAAAATTAGGCACTTTGTGTAAGACTTCTTGCGTTACTGTAAGCAGGTACGTGATCACGGTGAACGTTCACTACAGTTTAGAAAATAGAATTGACTGAAATAAATGCAGGCTTGTGTTTATAGAGGTGATGTCACCCATAGAGGGCGAAGTCTCCTTTCTGGTGATAAATGAACATTTCTCCTGCTGTTCTTTTTACTGAAATAAATAAATAAATAAAAAGACAACACTATTCCAACCCTAATTAAATATGTAGGCTACATTATATAAAACAGTAATTTACAACAAATTGCTGTTGAGGGCGATTTAACCTGTTCGTTTGCCATGTTAGCAAAATATCTCATGGATCATAACGAAGCGTACAGGAAGTAATTATATTTACAAATGATTGTCTTTTAGAGCAGTGTTGTATACAGTACCACAAAGTGATACTTGAGTAAAAGTACAAGTATCTTACCAGACAATTACTTTGGTAAAAGTTAAAGTCTCCTTTAGTAATATTACTTGAGTAAAAGTATTAAAATATTTGATATTTTTTGTACTTAAGTATTAAAAGTAAAAGTATTGATATAAAATGAGCTGTTTGATTTTTCATAATTACATTTATTAGGTGACCTTCCTCCACATACTGTATATATAAAGTCTCCTTTAGGAATATTACTTGAGTAAAAGTCTTAAAGTATCTGATATGTTTTGTACTTAAGTATTAAAAGTAAAAGTATTGATTTAAAA